ACAGCCGCTGTTGCTCTAACACAGAAATATTTCCCCGCCAAGATGCAGCTGAGCAGAGTGAGAAGCCACAGGGTGGCGCTGCGGACCTAGTTTTTAAGTAAAGACTTGCTGGCTACTCCTTTGTTCTCATGCACCAATAGTTCAAAGGATTTGGGCTAATCTCCCAATCCTAACGCTGAAGGAGCTAAAGCTCCTTTTATAGCTTGGGAAGCCTTTTCTCTCTCTGGACCCCACCGTACAGGCTCCACTTCCTCTGCCTTGGTAGCTTCTCTCCATGGTTTACTTGACTCCCCTAGTCCCGGTAGCCAGGGTCTGCAGTATCCTACTGCATCTAAAAATTCTCACAGTGGCATCTTGGTTACCATTACAATAGCCTGGACCTGTTCTGGGTCTATTAATCTTTGTCTTCTTTTAATGTAAATCCTAAATATTTTACTCCCTGCTGACACAACTGAAGCTTAGCAAGAGATGCACAGTGACGTTTTCCTGCTAAAGTACATAGAGAAATAGTATCTTTCAAGCAATCTTCATATATCTTGCTGGCAATTAACAAATGATCTACATATTGTACAAGTATAGAACCTCCAGGTAATCTAGTGTCTTTCAAGTCATCTTTAAGCAAAAGAGAATATCACAGGAGACCCAGTGAACCCATGGGTCCATGGTAGTTGTTGGCCTTTCCACATAAATGCAAACAGATGCTAGCTGTTTTCTGCTACAGGAATACTATTTTCCCCACAGTTCGCAACACGCATATATAGTCCAAGATTTGTCCTACTCTCCCTCCTGTCACTACTGTTGGGTGATATTCATCCCATTCCTTCCAAATTCGGGGCCCTCGTGGGCCATTCCTGGTTCCAGTGGCCCTATTCCCTGCAATAAGCGCAACAGTCAGCAGCTCCCAGAGAGGAATCCCAGTCACTTCCATTTGGTCTTCTCTAGCTCTACTGGGCCTCTCCCTCTACTTACTCCAATCCCTTCCCTGGCACAGCCAAAAACTCACCTTCTCTCTCCTCTAATGTCTCTTTAACCCTTTCCTCATCTCCTCATGGTATATAGATGTGGTCAAATGCACTTACCTTGTCCGTTGGCTTCCCTGGTTAGTCAGGTACATGTTTAGAAAAATATTTTTTAATATCTGGAGCTGCTTGATCCACAAAAGTAAAAACCAGTAGAGGTCAATTAGGTTCTGCTTCTGGGTCTCTTCCTACTCCAAACATTCTGACTCGTTTAGACAATCTAGAGAGAAAAGCTGAGGGGCGTTCCTCAGGCTTCTGTTAACACTCTCTTATTTTAGAACACTTTGGAGTTTTTTGTCCTGCCAAACATGTAGCCTCTTCTAAGCTTTGTCTGGCTATGTGCAAATGGCCATAGTCCCCATGTACATTATAATTCCACCCAGCATGCACAGTCAGCCAGGCTGTCCAGGCAGCTGCATCTCCCCGTTGTTCTGCCCAGCAATGGTCTGCATCAAGAATTGCGTGGGGTGAACAGGGCTTCAAGGAGCATCTGCACATCTCCCCAGGCAGGGTCATACAGTCATTCCCTGCACAACTTGTAACACTTTCTCTGGGTCCTCTCTAAGCCTGGGAGCCTGTTGACCCCAAGCAACCAAATCCTGGGGACCCCTGTATTGGCTGCCTGGGGCACCCTGCCTGGACCAGGCACAGCTGCTCCCAACACTGGCACTACATGAAGGGAGGCCTGGAAAATAGGAGTGGATGAGACCAGGGGGATAGAGGCCAAAGCAAACAGCAGAGCACAGGCTGGAACAGATGCCACAAACAGTTTAGCAGATTATATACAGTATTTCTAAAGGACTTTTTTTTCATTTTTTCTAGAATTTTATTTTCTCCTAATGTCCAATTATCCCATAGATACCAATACTCCATGGGCTGATTTTGACTGGGATAGAGTTATTTTTTTCCACAGTATCTTGTATGGGACTGTGTTTTGGATTTGTGCAGAAAATAGGGATGTTTTTGTTATTGCTGAGCAGTGCTTACACAGAGTCAAGGACTTCGGCTTCTCACATACCCCACCAGCGAGGAGGTTGGGGGTGCAGTACAAGGGGTTGGGAGGAGACACAGCAGGAGCATCTGACCCCAGCTAACCAAAGGGATATCCCAGACCATATGACATCATGCTCAGCAATCAAAAGCCGGGGGAAGGAGGTAGGGAGGACATCTGAAGTGATGGCATTTGTCTTCCCAAGTAACTCTTACCAGTGATGGAGCCCTGCTTTCTGAGAGGTAGCTGAGCACCTGCCCGTTGATGGGCGAAATGGTGAATGAATTCCTTATATTGCTTTGCTTGCATGTGCAGCTTTTGCTTTACCTATTAAAACTGTTTTCATCTCAACCCACAAGTTTTCTCACTTTTCTGATTTTCTCCACATCCCACTGTGAGGGAAGTAAGCAAGTGGCTGCATGGGGCTTAGTCCAACTGGGGTTAAACCACAACACTCCACTTGTCCAGGGAACCTGTCCTCCAAATGTGGACACAGGAAGGTTAATTCCTGATGGTCAAAGGTTCCCTGTGATGGCCACATTTCTGCCAGATTGCCCTCTTGTATAAGAGGTGGCCAACCCTCTTGGCATATTACTAATCCCTTTTTCCTCATTCCTTTGGTACCACCAATTTTACACCACTTTTCCAGAAATTTGGCTAAGGGTGTCTCCTTTTCTATGATGAAAATATTTCTCATTCTAAAACTCCGAACCTTATGCTGATCAGGCCATGCAGTTCTCCCAGTTTTGTATCTTATGCTGATCAAGCCATGATATTCTCCTTTAGTGCTCTATTTTACCAGAATTTAGAATTTTGAAGCAAGAATTTAAGACTCACCAGTTCGGCCTCCCACCACCAAAGATACTGGGTGAACTCCTGTATGTTTGGAGACAAGAGCTTCTGCTGGTGGTTGCCTAGGGTCCCACCTGGGTTATTGTTATGGATTTACACACGCGGGCCACTGTAACAGGGTCTGACCCTCGAATCCTGCTGATTATGCAAAGCCTGAGTGAAGGATTTTAATTATTGTTTTATTAGTTCTCAGATAAGTTTGAGCTGGGTGCTTCTGGAGAGAGACCCCTACCCTAGTTCTCTCAATTATACCCATATCACCCATCACCCAATCCCCAAGTCCCAAGTATTCAGCAAACCTAGAGGAACAGAGACATTCCAAAGTATGACAGCGTGATTGTTCTCATCACTTACAGGTAATTTCCAAGTGAAATCTGAAAACAGGAAAACTATTTGGAACACAGAGGAGGTCCCAGAAGGATCTGAATTTGATGATACCTGGGACCCTAGAGAACAGCCAGAGTAAGCGAGCTGAAACTGCCCACGTGGGCTTTACAGAGCATTGATGGGCAGAGAAGTTATGGCATTGGGATGAAACAGCCACCTGAAAAGCTTGTGTCATGGAAGGAGAAAGGGAGGGGATTGGTGTTGTGTCTAAAGCAACACGTGAGGAGTGGTTTTAACCTCTCCCTTGGAAACCTTCTGATCTCATGACAAAAATGTCGCATTGGTTTTACCCATAAGATTGCTTGCTATACACCCTTTCAATACTTTAGAAAAGCAAGTCCACTTATTTTGCTCAATTTAATAGGAGTAACATATGTTCTAAATACAAATTTAGTGTTTTATCTTCTTTGGGATGAAAAGGAAAGACTTCCCCACAGCCTGCTATGAAGGTATAGTGGTGAACTGAACCTCTCTCTCTCTCACATGTTCTACATGCTCTTTCTCTGCCCTTTTTAAACTTGACACATTCTTGAGGGAATATATCTCTCTCTCTCTCTCTGTATGTATATATATATGTGTATATATATATATATATATATAAAAACACCAAGCTGTATTGCTGTTTTGTCCTATAAGATTCTTGCATAGGATTCTTTCAGGCAGCCACAAGACTCAAAGTGAAAATGCAGTTAACTCCTAGAAGTGATCAGGACAGTAAAATGGCTCCTCTCCCCAGTGAGCATCCGCGGCGAGGGTAGGAGCCCTCCACAGGGGTTTCCCACAGGACCTGCCAACAACAGGCTCCACGAGAGCAGCTGGGAGACTCCCCTTCCTCTCCTCTAATGACCATGAAATCCACTCACAGGGGAAAGAAAACAGCTAACGAGCAACTCGCCGGTTTTAACTCACATTAAAGTCAGTCAATCAGTCTGGTAGGAGGGCCCTTCCCTTTCTCCAGGGGACAATAGAGACAAAGCCAACGGAGTGCAGGCAGAGGTAGGCAAACATAAACTAAAGCCCACAACACATCATTTGTGCCCCCTCAGCATTTTGCAGAATGGAAGCATAAAGGGGAACCGAGTATGAGGGCAGCTTTCTAAGTAGTGATCATTCACCTCCCCCTACGAGTAAAGATATATTGGAATGTGCATGATAATCACACTTACCAAAAGCAGTGACACGATTCCGCCTCTTGGAAAGTCTTTGCAGCAGACTGGCTGACCAGGTTCTTTCCTGCACCCTTGCGACTGAACAAGCTACATGACACCAAATCAGCACACAAGCACCATTTTTCTACTGGCACATCAAATCGTTTTAATTGTGCAGAAATTCTGCTTACAAGTACCAGCACAAGCAGTTTCTTGCCAAAAGTACAGACAACAAGGCCCGCTCTCAGAAGTGGAAGCATACTAACTTAAACACAAACTCCAGCTAGCGATAGGAGGAATTTGAGTCTCTCAGACTGCTGCAGCTCCTTCTGAGGACAGCTCTTCATTAAACCATCCCTGTACAGACCTGCAGAGAAGCTTAGGAAGTCCCGACTGAACGTATTCAAGCTACGCTGAAGTACTGGAGAGCTCAGCCGTGCAGGCACACGCTGCTCACCTCCCTCAAGGGCAGCATTCGTGCATTTCACCAGTCTGCATGCAGTTACAAACAATAGAGACAAAGAGCACACGCTTCCTGCACAAACTTGTCATGCCTCTCTCAGACTGGACAGGGTGAATGCCAGCCAGACACTGCAAAGACTGCCTTTGGAACAAACAACAAACTTTATTGCAAAAAAAAGAAACAAGCCCAGGCCAGAATGTGAGACCTAGGTCCCCAAAAGCCTCTTTCCTGTGGAGATTTCAGGTTAATCCTTTACACTTGGAGCCATTCAATCAAACGTGATCCGAAAACTGCGCTCCTGCTCCTTGCGGCGGCTCTCGCAAACCTTGGTCACCTCTTCCACCTTCCTCTGCAACACGGCTGTGGGAGAAAGAAGCCATTAACCTCACTTGTCAGAAGCTGTGCAAAAGGGCTACGGATTAGGTCGGCCCGTGGCTTGGAGAGAGATATCCCAGGTTCAGTTCCATTTCGTGCATCGTGCCAAACCCAGCAACTCCCAGTAACAAATTAAGCAACACATTTCGGTTTGCCACTTTTCAAAACTTCACCATGCAAAAACGATTATGGCACAGAGTGGCAGCCTAATTCACTGCCTCCCAGATCTCTCAGGCTCAGCTTGGAATTCCGGTGCAACTACCACAGAGGAGACTGGCTGGCTCTCTCGGGAAGAGGCAGAAGGTCAGAACAAGTGTCCAAACACTCCTTTCACTTGTGGAAGCAGCACCACCCCACATCCTCGTTCATCAAGGCCATTTAATTGTGGCAGTGGGGTTAACAGCAATTCGCATGAAGTGCCACAATTGCACATAACTGTTCAACACGTCAGACAAGTTAATAGGCACCGTGTATGAGTGCGCCGAGAAAAGATCACCGGCTGTTGTGAAACCGTCCTGGATGCGTCCACACAAGCAAAGCTGGCAACGTTACCTAAGCACGGATGTCCTAGTTCTGGTTTGTGGGTTGGCTTGGGGGTTTTTTTGTGTACAAAAAGACTGTTAAGGAACATGTCCTTCCTAGGCCTACTCAATTTACAAATGGCAAGGGCTATGCAAAGGCTTATTTCAAAATTGCATCCTTTTTCCACCATAGCACTTAAGCGCACACAGTAACAGGAATTCTTCTCCTTGCCAAGAACCCCACAGAAACAGACACACACGTTATTAACCTTTTTGAAAACCTGCCATTTCTTAGGCTTATTGCGTCTTTCTTGTTTGAAGGTGAACTACAGATCTACTGGTTTTTTAGATCTATACTTCCCAGCACAGAGAATGAATCGTTATTAAATGATAAGACAATTTCCTGGGTTCTGAATGACAGAGGAAAAATGGGTCTCCTTTCTAGGAAAATTTAAAGGGATCCAGTTGCTGTTTTCACACACATTCTATAAAGTCAGAATTCTGATGCCACAGGAGGTGCACCACATTTCCCAATAAAGGCACGTTTGGAATGCAGAAGTTCACATACATGTTCTGGAAGAAAAACCCAAATTACATCCTGACCTAAGTCAGTAACACTACTTACACGTGGACAGCAGTAAGCCTGCTTCCACCCGAGTACACCAGGCATGGTCTTGCCTGGATTTGGCTTCCATTTGTGGAGAGGAGGGTGGGACACACACAGACACACACTTCGCCAATTTTCCTATTCCAAAGGGAAACCCCACAACATCTGAGAAGTGGAAATATTTAACCTTAGCTTGACATAAGGTTTTTGTTTTGCACTGATGCATTCCAAGCAGTGTTTTCCTGCAAAACATCCGCAGTTGCCAGGAATTACTTCTCAAGAGAGGCCTTAATGAATATCAGAAGTATTCAAGGGACAGTGTCACAGACAGCAAGGCAGAGAAGATTCCTCAGGAATCTTCCGGAATTCATTTATATTTGAGAAACACATGCACACAAGCTACATGCTTTGTGTTTACATTCCCCCAAAGCCCCAAGACAACTCTCACCTGAGTTCTGGTCAATCCACTGCAATGAATCCATGTGCGCATTCAAAATTTTACAGATCTGCTGAAGCTGAGCAGAAAGAGAAGGTGCAAGTCATTTGCTGTGCGACATAAAAATTAAGAGCAGTAAAAGACAACCTGCCTGTCCCTGCCTTTCGAACACAATGCAATCAAATTTCTTGCATGCACAGCTCCACTAACCCAGCAGCCACTTCCCCAGGGAAGTCTCTGCAGCAGCTGTGCTGCTTTGCCTCTCTTTACCATCAAGGAAACAGACTGCTTTAGAGTACATGCCTGTGCTTTTGGCTCATTCCAGTTCAGACCTAGGAACCACCACCATGTGAATCGCCTGAGGCTTGAGGTGACAACAGTAAGATGGAATGGGAAAATAATTCGTCTGCAACATGAAGGGAAGTTTTTATGAAAAAAAAAAAAGCTTCTCAGTAAAGTCTTAAGGATTATCAAGATCAATTTAATACGTATCAGAAAGAGCTGGTGATTCTGATCTTGTGGTCATGGGGATACAGAAGTATTACAAGATACCACACTCAGCACCTACGGAGGGCATTCCAAACAATATTGAGTTTTGCCACAAGAAAGTCACAGGCAGCGGAGCATGCAGCCAGATCAAAGTTAAGAAATGCCTCAGAAACAAGTTGTAATCTAGGCGATTATTAGACAACAAGCCAATAAGCACAGTTCATGCCAGAATGAGATACTCTGAAAACTATTAACAGAACTGCAGAGTAAGGACCCAAGTCAGGCTGGCTTGTGCTGTTATAACGCAAGTCTTACCAGAAGAGAAACAACCCAAGGACAAAACACAACACCCTTCCAAGGCTGAAACCACAGGCAGTGGGGTATCCATGAGTGGACAAAGAGTTTAAATATCTTCGTCTCTTTATCAACACGCAAAAAATAAACCTTTGATTTACCGGGTCACTCGTGTCAGCTGGGCCTCTTGATGTATTCAAGTGCTCTGTGATGTCCTTCAGATCTTGTGCCATACGCTTCAGCTGGGCATCTATGTTTTCAGCCAGTTTATAGCTGCAACACACGTGGAAACGAAGCTCAGAATGTTTAAAGTGAACATCAGAAGACCTGCTCTCAGTCACACCCACTCTGGGGGAACAGAATTAGCTGACACGCCATCCAGCCAAGGCCGGCAGATAGGTGGGAGCAGCAGCACAAAAGGCATTCTGTCACACAGAATCTTCCTCTCTTGGTGGATGCACAGAGACAGACAAGCAATACTGTGGAGGCCTTTCTGTCACAACCAAAGGAACCAGCCAGTCCAGGTCCCTGCTACCATCCAACACTTCAGGCTTACAAGGATGCCTAAGCCACACATAGCACATTCTCCCCTCATTGCTTCTATCACAGGATAATCACTCCTTTTTAGAGATTATGCCAAAATTAGTAACCTTTTCCCAGACAGCTGATTACTCCAACAGCCAAAGTGCTTTTCACGCTCATTTAAGGCAATTCCCCTGTTTCTAATGCATAAAATTAAGGTGCCATGCATAAATCAGGATTAAATATCTGAAAAAGGCCACTGACAGTTCAATGTTGTCGTGCACCGCAACTCTACTTCTTGCTGACTGACCATCACCACATTAGCCTGCTCATCACATGCCCAAAGCAGATTTCTCTCTTACGTCCTCTCCCGTTCTTCATCGGCATGCTGCAAGTAGATAGTCCCGCTCTGCTCCTTCACAGACTCCTCCAGAGGGGTCAGCAAGTCTTCAAGCTCCTTCTGCTGCGACAGAATGAAGTCTAGTTCCTGATCCAGTCTGAAAAGAGAAAATGTTAACTACCCCACTTAGAGCTTATGTAGTTCTAGATCTGTCATACAACAATGAAAGATGAAAAATCATCTCAAGTGTTCATAGTTCCGTACCTCTTCTGATCAAGCTTCACTTTCTCTACTTCTCTGTGTAATGAAGTAATCTGGAAACAGAAAACAACTACATTACAAAACTCAGAAGTTTTAATTATCATGTAAAATCACAGAACAGACTTCCAAGCTTCAGTGCCTACAGACCAGAACAGACATCCACTGAGTTTTTCAAAAGCCCCCAGACGTAATCCACAGTAGCTGTTTGCTGCCTCTGTAATACCAAAGGCTTTAAGGATCTAAGCAGGCAAAATCAGGTTACACTGGATGACCCCTTACCTTCTCTCCATTCTCTATCAGCATCTGATCCCAGGCATTAACTTGTGTAGCTTGGTGTAGGAAGTGTTTCTCTTGGTCTTCCAGTTCCAGACTCCACTTATTTATCAAACTCTCCAGCTGGGCATAAGTCATGACTGGAGGCATGCTGAGAGGAAGCACGAGACAGTACAGAACGCAAGATCAAAAAACAAAACATCAACCTGACAACATGCATTTCCCCTCCCTCCACCAGACACCAGCATTAATGCTGCCCCTTGCCCCAGTCAGGAAATAGCTGTTACACAACACACACCTGGAGGCTGTGGTGGTGGTGGTGATGGCAGCTGTAGAGGTCCCAGCTCCACTGGAACCAGTTGTAGTTAACGGCTTAAGATTCAAAGCAAAGCCAGAAGCAGAAGTAGTGCCTGAAAGAAGAGATGCAAGTCGAGCAATGGAAGGGGAAACATCTGCTACCTAGCAAATCAAGAACAGGTCCAACGTACACTTTTAAGCAGAGTGCTCTATGAGATCCAATAGGTCCCTTAAACAAAAAAGGAAATCCCACGTCTGTCAGGAAGGGAACGAAGCACGTCTTGACAGAGGAGTGGACTGCAAATCCCTGACCAGTAGCTCTAGTAAAATGAGGAAATGTCAGCCTGCACTTAACTGGGCATTATTCAAAGAAACACAGCATTAGCCCAAACACCCCTCAACCTCCTCGGGTTTTAATATTAGACCTAATACTATCAGCACACCCAGTTCCTCTCCTCCATCTCTACAGGAGATGAAATGTCTGTTTTCACCGAGCTAAAAGCATCTGTCAGATGGCACTGCCAGCCCATCAGATGGTACTGCCAGGCACTGGGCTCAAATTCTTCACAGTCCCTCCAGAAACAAGATTTAGAAAGACCCTGAGAGCTGAGCAGCATTCATGTTATTACCCTAAAAACTGACCAGTAACTGCAACCAGAAAAGGATGTTCAGGCCTGAATCCCAACACTGTGCAGCAGCAAACTCCACTGCAGGCCTTCACATAAGGGTTGCCACTTGGATATACAGCACCCATCTCGGATTTGGGTTTTGGGGAAGCTAATGAAATCCAACCCTTTGAAACGTCCAGTATGGAAGAAACAGAATGAAGGGGCAGAACTGGATCATAAAACATCTCTCCCTAACACTCCCCACAAGTCTTTGGCCTCTCCATCCCCCAGCCAGACATCTCTCCCTCATCTCTTGGAGCAATTCTGCACCCACACAGGCAGGCTGGAGGAGGAGCAGCTCATCTATTTACTCGACTTGCTCCTGACTAGAACATCAAAGCCCACAGGTGTTCCTTCACCCAGAGGCCCTTTGCTGTGTACAGGCTCTCAGAAGTCATAAAGAACTGTGCATTTGGGGAGATAGAAAAGAGGAGCAGAAAAAGGAATGCTGCGGTATTCCAGCATGTCGTTCTTACTAGTGGCAGTGCTTGTTGCGGCAGCTGTTGTTCCAGGAACTTTTAGGCCAAACCCAAGTGTTCCGAGACCGGCTGTTCCAGTGGAAGGGGCACCAACTGTAAACAGAAGACAGCATTGAAGAGTTTGTGTAACCCACCAAATACTGTGCCCCTATGAAAAGGCCTACCCTCCCTGCTCTCTCATCTCCACCCGGTCTTTATTTGATCAGCCAGGATCACTTTTTACGTGAAGGATCATTCAGACACAACACAAAAAAGGCAGGCTGAAGCTATGAAGTAGCCAGAATGCTCTGCAATTCTTCCAGGAAGCTTTACTGATCCAGGCGCCAAGCTACCGTCGCTTCTCTTTACCTATTCTGCATTCTCTAACTGCTATCAAATGCTTAAATAAGCACTGGGTACTGGCAGACAGGAAATGCAACCTCTGCATCAGCCTTCCTTGCTAAAGCAACACAACTGCACAGACCGCAGGGCTGTCACGTCTCAGTTGCCTGGAAACAACCCACCAGTTATCAACCAAAACCACCCTGATAAACAAAGTATGCCCCTTAGCTCAAACACTAAGATTAAGGTCAGCTTTGGAACGACAGTAGCAATGCAAGCACTGCAGAGCCACTAAAAATACAAGTTGCTAAGCTGCTATATATGGCATCTACACATTGCAGCTGATTAGTTAAAAGGAATCAGTGTGGCTCTAACATAAAACTTGGGAAGGCCCTAGGGAGCAGCTGCCCAGACTTTCAGAGGTAGGTGTAAGACAACATAACATAGGGAAGAGTTGTATTAGCTCTGGTGAATGTTGACATTTACTGTCACTGGTCTCCATAATCAAAGGAAGCTGAAGTGTTAACATCTCACTGCAGGCTAAGAATGCTCTTAGCGCTGTCTTCAAACCTGGACTACAGCCTTTAACGCCATCAGAAAACAGACACTACTTCCTGCCATGAAAGTAATTTTGCAAGAGAAAACCTGTCAGTTTTTACTAGAGGAACTTGCAAACATACAGCTATGTGAATCCTTTTTTTTCAGCACGCTGCATCTCCACTGTCACAGGCCACCGCTCTTAAAGAAGAGTGGACACCTAATGCAAGAGGCAGAGGTAACCAGACTCAAGGCACTGGGCTCTGCCAGACAGCAGCTGAAACAGCACTGGAAAGCTCAGCTCTGGCGATACCACCCAGACAGGGAAACAAAAAATTCTCACACAGCTAAAACTGCCCCATGCTGCTTGCCCACTGTGAATCAAAAGTGCGCTTTGGTTTGGGAAAAACCCTCCACATGCTTCAGTCCTGAACAAAGTTTGCCAGAAATCACAAAGAAGGAACGTGGCAAACTGCAGGAAAAGCTGAATTCTCCCATTACCCCAGCAGCTGCAGCTCCATTACCGACAGGCAGCGCTGACTATGCAGCTCTTTTATTCCCCCAGCAGGTAAAATCCGTGCGCTGGGACTTACGCGAGAGGCCCGTGCCTGTAGACGATGTCGGTGCTGAAGAACTCACTATAGATGAGAACAATGTTGGCCCCGTTGAGCCCAGAACGGAGGTCGTGGTGGTAGCGGCTGTTGTAGCAGCTGTGGATGTCACTACAGAGGGAGAAAGCGCCCGTCTTGTACAACCAGACCACACCAAGTTCTCGCCCGTTTCAGAAGAATCATGCTGAGAATGCGACACAAATTTGCCTAGTTTTTTTGCTGATTAAGGATACCAATTAAACTCGGACAACAGAGTGAAAAGTGTAGGTGTATTCTACTAGTGATAACCAAATAATGTAACAGTGTAATACAGAAATTTTGTCTAAGCCACATCTTTCGCTAGCGAGTTTACAGACTTATTTAACTGTTACATAACAAGTTAATAGCTTCAGCTTAGGGCCTGTAGTTCAGGCTTCAGTACTTCAATGCTTTAGCACTTTTTACATCGGAATAGGCGGTTTATTATAACTTAGTACAATACCTACTAGCACAATGGTTTTCAGTTATAAAACATACAGGATTCATCTATAGGTCAACTCTGGCTTGGGCTGGTTGTCCAAGCCTTAGCACTTCACCTGTCTACATCCCTTTTTATAAGGATGTCAGAATTCTTAATTATTTTTCCTCTTATCCTACCTCAATTGTACCTTTTTTCCAAGGCGGCCTTTAAACTTGTGGCACCCTCCCGTACGCTCCAGCAACAAGCACAGAACAGAATTTGGCACAGGGACACAATAAAAACCACAGGATACTAAGGTCAGTGGCTCTACAAACTGTCACAGAATCCTAATGCCATGGCAAATTCACAGTGACAAACATTTCTTGCCCATTTCCAGACTCCAGTTTAGAAAACTAATCCCAAAAGGACAGAAGAGTCACAAAGTCACAAGTGGAGTCACAAAGTCATTATTTCCCAAAATCACCTCCTACCTCCCAGTTTGGTTCCAAAGGACAGAGTGGGTCCCTGGCTGGTACTAGTGGTCAGTGTTGCCATGGGCGCACTAGTGGCTGCTGTGGAAGTCAGGGACCCAAAGCTGAGACCTGGAACAAGTAGCAGAAGGAAGAGACAAGACTTTTACTACAGAGACACTGTAGCTTCCACTGACCCCAGCAACTGTCAGGTCAGAAGCAGTATAAGAAAATCATGAATATTCAAATTAACAAAAGCTCTGCGTTGCACAGGAAATTAAGTCGGGCCAAGAAGCTCCTTAGGTAAAGAGATTTTCACTTTCATTACAATGACTCTAACACAGATAGACATCCCCCTCACCCAGAGCTGATCACCTTCCCTCCCAGGCCTGCACTGGCACCAACAAGTAAGTCAAAAGCTGCAAACAGGACTTGTGCCGCACTCTCCGCTCCCACACGCACTGGCAAAATTATTTCAGCCTCAAACCCAAAGGCTAATTAACAATTGCTACTTGTCACTAGAGACCCTGGACAAGCACACGAGAGAAACCACCGACCCCAGCCACTCGCTTCATTTCACGCCAGCAGAAGCCAGCAGCTGCAGAACCTCCAGCCCAGCCCCACTCACCCTCCGTGCCGCCAGCCCTCCTGGCTGCCGCTGTCGAGCCCCAGCACCCACCGAGCCCCGGCACTCACTGAGACCCAGCACCCACCGGCAGGCTGTCCCCCGAGGCTGAAGGGCGTTGCTGACTGGGTCGCAGCTCCTAAGGTGGCAGCCGTGGTGGCAGCAGCTGCCGGGGCCGTTCCAAAGCTCAACCCTGTGGGCACAGCTGGCAGAGCTGCAGCACCCACACTGAAGCCGGTTGCTGTGGCCTGAGATGTGGTAGCACTGGAGAACGTGAACCCTCCAGTGGTCCCAGACTGGGAGATGGTGGCGGCGGTGGTGGTGGTGCCAGCAGATCCAAACACAAGGCCAGAAGGGGCTGCTGCTTGACTTGAGGGCGCGCTGGTTGGTACCGAGCTACCAAATCCAAAGCCCCCTGTGGTTCCAGTAGCTGGAGTTGCAGTACTGCCTCCAAAGTTGATTTTTGGTGTGTTTGCCCTAGAGAAGGAAAGAAGACAATCTGCTGGAGACAACACCCAGCCAAGTACCGAGTCGGCTTTCTTACAGACTGTGCTGACAGCAGAAACCACCTTTCCAAGAGATATGCACTTGATCAGCTTCATCTTTCAATTCTGGCACCACCTGTGACCCGCAACCCCCTGGAAAGTCTCTTTATACTGACTCCCCCCTAACTCCCTCCACCCCTCCAGGCACCCGAAGGCACTGAGAGCCACAGGATCACAGACCGACGAGCCAACAGCTGGTTCCCAACTTCCGGGCGATAAAGCCGGCCCTGACACACATCGGGTCTCGCCGGACGCGCTCCCGAACGTGCTCGAGTGCCGCCCGAAGGCGCAACACCAACCGCTTCGTTCCCCCCCGGCCCCGAGAACGACTGCCAGAGGCTTCCAAAGCGGCAAGGACGACGCCTCCCTCGCGCCGCTCACCGGGCCCCCAGCCCCACCCCGGCCGCCCCCCGGGCCTCTCACCCCAGCGGGAACACGTTCGCTGCCGGCGCCGCGGGGGCCGGCGCCGGCGTCCCGAAGCTGAAGGTGGCAGGCGCGGCGGCGCCCGGCCTGCTGAAGGAGAAGGG